GAGTGAAACCTAGCTATTTACCTAGTCTCTTCGTTTTGCCTGTGTCTCACCTGCAAGCAAGAAGCAGTCATAAGGTCACTTGTAAGATAGAAGGCCTCTCTGAGCTATGTCCAATAGTGGAACTATGGAATATAAAATGAGAATTATCCTAAGCCAGTTAGTCTTGATTTAGTTTGTTGTACAACAGAAAAAAATACCCAACAACATTCTTGAACAGGTGTTGAATTTTTTTGGCCTCCTTGATAGTTTTGGTCTTAATGTGACTTATATAAGCATAATGTTAAATAGAAATATTATTTTCCACAAGTTCTTTATTTGATTTCAACTCCACATGATTGACTAAACTTGTGTAAATCTGAAGTAAACCCTATTCTGTATTGAGTCTCTCCAGAGGAATCTTGGGAGGGATAGCTGCTGTGAAGAGACTTAGGGATGTCTTCCCTCTGGGTTCTCTGTTGTCTCTTGTAGGGCTGTCTACTATGTTTAGGTCTATTTTCTTTTCTTTGACTTCCTCACTCTAATTTCTGTGGGGTTTTGTTGTTGTTGTTGTTGTTGTTTTATAAATTCCTTTCTGTCACAGTTGAATTGGATTTGCCACGTAAGGTAAGATGAACAGCTTTTCTTTGTCATGGAGTCTTTTCTTTATAGAAAGGAATTGGAATGCTGTCAGTGAGCAAAGACCCCAAACCACATTGATTTTAATAAAAAAAAAAGGTTCATTGTGCTAAGTCTTTGCATATAGGCTTATTTTTACTCCCTTGGAGAACAATGTTCTCTCTCTCTCTTTCTCTCTCTCTCTTTCTCTCTCTCTCTCTCTCTCTCTCTCTCTCTCTCTCTCTCTCTCTCTCTCTCTCTCGGTTTGGATTCTGATAATTGACAAATCTGGAGAATACACTAAAAAATATGACTGCTCAAGAGAAAATGATGGAACCTTTGAAAGACAGTGAGGTCTGTGTAACTTAATGATATTCCTATCTCCCCCCTGCTCTATCCTAGTGGTATAGCTAAAATTTGGCAACTGAGCAAGTTTGAATAAGGGGGAAGGAGAGAATGAGAATATGAATGAATGTGAATCTTTCTGCCTTTGGAACTCCATTAAATATAACCTCTGTCCCAAGAGCATAGTCAGTGTCTTGTCTGAACTTGCAGCTCCCTGGGAAAACTGTTCAGAGAGCACTTGGCTAGTTGGTTGACTTGAACTGTGCTTGGAGAAAGAGAAAGCTCATTTTCCAGGGCATTACAGAGACAATAGCCAACCCTTGGCAAGATCTCTACTGCATAAGGCTGTAACTTCATTTGGTACAAACCAGAGCCTGGTTAGGAATTTTAAAGGAAGTCCTGGAGAACTAGCCAGTCATAGCATGTTAGAAAGCTCTGACATGTTCCTTGATATCGAAAAGTCTGCTTAATACATATGGTTGTGATACTGGACTAGGAAAGATCTGAACATGTCACCTCTGACTGATCTTGAGGCTCTGTGTCATTAGGAAGTGAAAGCAAGGGTTTATAAGCCCTTGAAAGCTGGAGTTGGCACTTCATAAAGATACTGTTGACAAAGGATGGAACATGCATAACTGAGGCACTTGAAATGATCTGAGCAGTCAATGAACACTATTATATTTACACAAGTGTGACCACTAGTAAGCCTTGCTTAGAAATTGAAATCAGGAATTTAAAAAGAAAAGTTAACAGAAAAGTTGGTGGCCATTCATAGGTAATAGAATCTATAAAAGTGCTAAGTTAGCACAATTTGAAAAATTGCAGATACATTGGGAGGAAAATGGAAGATTCATACATCCGTGCACTAAAATATGCTATACAAAATGTCCAGTTTCCAACCAAATATTTAAACTTCAAAGAAATAGAAAATATGTCAGGGAATTTATCAAGTTGGTGAAAGAATTCACCCTTTAGATCAGAAGAAGTAAAGAGTTTAATACACTGCTAGAGCAGTAGCGTGGCAATAATTAAAGAACTGTTTGCATATGCTAGTTAGATTCAGGGGATGAGTCCTGTGTGGGTGGGTGAGCCATTTTGCTGCAGTTTCTATCCATGTACTTTCCATCATTCAAATGAAGGTGGCTTTGTGGTATCCAGTTAATTTTGGTTTGTCACACCATTCTGCTTTGGTTGGATTGGAGTTTTCTGGACTTTCAGGTACGGGTTTTTTGTCACAGAAAATAATACATACACAGGAAAAAATGAAACAGCTAAACAAAAACTGCCAACAGAAAACTTTGCTAGTCAATATTTATTTTAATTAATTGATTTTGATTTCTTGAAACAGGGTCTCCCTATGTATCCTTAGCTGGCTTGGACCTCACTGGGTAGACCAGGCTGGACTGGAACTTAGGACGATCTCCCTATTTCTGCCTCTGGAGTGCTGGAATTGTAGGTGTGCTTTACTATGCCCAGATCTGGCATCTAGATACTATATTTAAAAGGTTTGTAAAGTTAGCTGTTATGTGAACCACAAAGAACTTAGTGAAGCATGTCTAAAGGACTTAAATGAAAGAAAATGGTGTTTCATCAAGAGAGAAAACAATGATATAAATTTTAAAAATAGTCACCCAAGTATTCTGGAGTTTAAAAGCAAAGGTGTTCTCAAAGGGGCACAACGGCATAGATAAGCTGACAGGGCAAGCAGCCAACTGGGAGCTGTGCTGACAGGGACCATCTAGTGTGAGGAGAAACTTACCCCCAAACAGAAAACAGCGAGAAAAAACTCGAGACACCATCTCGTGTACTACCATAGGCATAAACAGAGCTCTAGAAGAAGAGAAAGGCAAGAATATTTAAAGGAATAATTACAGAAAATTTCCCAAGCAAGTTGAAATGTATTAATTTACATATTCAGGAAGTTCAATATAATCTGAATGGAATAAATACCAAGCTACACATGTCTAGATACACATTTACTTTTATGAAAGTGAGTGGCAGGAAAGCCTTGAAAGCAGCAGGGAAAAGTGACTTCCCTCACATGGGGTCCTCAGTAAGACTAACAGCTGACTTACAGTAAAGTTAGAAGACATTTACAGCATTGAATGGAAATGACTGTCAGCTAGGAGCTTTGTGTCCAGCTAAACTCTAAAAAAAAATGGAAGACATATTGGGCGGTGGTGGCATACACCTTTAATCTAAGCACTGGGGAGGCAGAAACGGGATCTCTATAAGTTCGAGGCCAGCCTGGTCTACAGAGTGAGTTCTAGGACAGTTAGGGCTGTAACAGAGAAACTGTGTCTCAAAAAAATAAAATAAATAAAAAAACAAAACAAAACCAAAAACAAAAAAAGAACAAAAAAAAAAGACACTTCCAAATAAGCAAAAACTAGAAGAGTTTGTCACTAAGAGACCTCTCTAAGTAATTGTAAAGAGACCCAATGGTTCAAATAACAGACCACAAGATGTCACATGAAATAAAGGGCAATTGTAAAGGTGACAATAGATTTATCAAAGACAGGTAAAAAATACATGAAATGTAATTTTCTTTCTAATTTTCTCCAAACTACAGCTAGCTAATGCAAAAATTATAAAATTGTGTTCATAATTTAAAAAATTTTCTTTAACACACAAACAGTTTAGGAAAAATACTAATTGTAATCCTCAGGGAGACCACTAGGAAAATGAATAAAAGAAAATATAGTAAAAGAAACAACATAGGTATGTGAAAATATACCCGAAAGTATTTAACACAGTAAAGGAGGATTTGTAATTGAAGATACTATATAGCTCAGTCATATTCTCATAAATGAAGATAGTAGTCATACAGGACATTTAGATTTATAGACATGATGTGTAATTTCCCTGTAATTTTAAAAATCTTTATTTTAAATTATGCTTGGTGTGTGTGGGATACAGGATATGTGCAGATGAGTGCAGGTTCCCATGAATACCAGAAGAGAGCGCTAGGTCCCCTGGAACTGTAGTGAACAGGTCATTGTGACACATGTAAGTGCTTGGACTCAAATTCAGATCCTGGGAAAGAGCAGTATGTGCTTTTAAGTGCTGAGCCATATTTCCAGTGCTCTCCACCCTAATTAAGATAAATTAGGAAGCAGAAATTTGTAGGGAAATGGAATTATTTACAGTTTTGTCAATCCTAGAAAGTTTTTATTTCTCTGTTTTCCCTGAAACAATGTCATGGTTTTTTGGAAAAGATGAGACCACATCCAGGAAGCGTGCGTGTTAGTTACTCTGTCAGAACTGTGAATCTCTTCCTTTGTGTGGATCTTCTGTGGCTGGCAGTAGGGCTTTAGATTCCCCCTTCTGCAGCAGGGGCGCAGGGAGAAATTTTAATTCTTTGGATTTGTTGTGTCGGTACACTCTATAGTGGAGGCGGGGAAAACATGCATCTTTCTTTGGGCTGTCTCCACTCCTTTCAAGGCTTCAGCATATGGTTATGGTAATGTTAATATATGAATTCATATTAAATAATATGCTCAGATAATTGTTGAAGAGAAATGCTACTTATGGAACATATTGGTTCATAGAGCAGTAGTTTGTCAGATACTTCTCAATAGATTTTAAAAATATGACACAAAATGTATAGTGACTGCATATGTTTGTACCCACAAGTCCTGGAAAACTTCATTTTCTCCGAATCTTCATTACAGTTGTTCTTTTCTGGTGCTCCGATAGCACCCACCTTAGCCATTATTCAGATGATTAGTGTAATGCTACAAATTAGCAGTCCTTTCCTTCTTTCCCCCCTAAGGAACATAGTTATTTTAAGTGGCTTCCTACAGTTTTTGCAAATATTTTGTTTCCTGATCCAAAAGTAGAATATTGGAGCTGGGCTGGTGTTCTAAACATGCTAGAATGAATGTGTAAGACTGAACATGTAGATTTCTTCATAGTTTAACAGCTATGGCCCTCATATGGAATTTATGAGGTAGTACCTGAAGACATCACTAGGCAAAGAGTTGCTGTTTTGTCTATGCCTTTAGCTTCATTAATGGTGATTTGCATCACTGAAATCTCTTTTCTGCTTCCTTTTCAAGCATTCCACAAATGCCCCATCTGTGAGGCTTCACTCAGTACATAACTGATGTACTGCTTCTGTGCTCTCTGAACCTGGTAATCTCCATTTCATGCTCTATGTCTTCCTTTGAATGTTTTCTTAATGGGTTTCATGCTCCAAGTATGATTGTGTTCTCAAAAATTTGCTGTAGAATTTTGGTAGACTTGCTATGATCCAGTGTTCTATAGGTTAGGAACCTCTCTAACCATTTAATTAGTTCAGCTTATAGGTGGTATTTATGATGTTTGCATTGAAGGTCATGATTGTAACTGTGTAGTTTTTGGGAGTATTTAAGTTTGGTCATTTAAAAATTTGTCAAACCTTTACATTCATTGGCCCTCTAGTATGATGAGGTTTCCAGCTTGTTCTGTACTATCTCAAGGATTGTACTATAATGTTATGTAGTTGGAGGAGAGTTAAGAAGGGAAAAGTGCATTTGGAGTAATGACTGTGCCACTTGTTGGCTGATCTGCTTTGAGATGCGTTTCTTATTCTGAGTGAAACCTGACCTATAAGCTGGAGATGGTAATACTTATCATTTTGACTTTTATTTCAAAGACTTCATTAATATTATGAATCTGTGTTTGGGGAGAGCCTTTTATTTGATTGATCCTGAGAACTGTATTGTCTTTTGCATGCTAAAGTGTTCTACCACAGAGCTCTGTCCTTTGTTTAGTGTGGGACATCTTGTGAAATCAGTGTTCTTCAGGAATGTTCAAGGGAAAGGGACTTTCAAACTGTGGCTGCACTCTCATGGTTTGTACTTGACAAGGGATTGGCTCTGATATTCCCTCTCCTAATTTGAACATTAAGTAGAAAAATCAGATACTATATTACAAAAATGAAACATACATTCCCACTAGCATTTCAAAGTATAAATGAACTATTTTGATTGGGACCAAGGACCTTTTCTTGAACTATAGTTCCAGAAAGATGTGCTTATAAGAAATTTTGTTTCTTGAATCTATACAGAGAAGGTAAGAATAAAGCAAGATTCCCAAGGCTTAGGAGCAAATACTACTATATTGACTGAACATACATGTGAGCATTTGCGATCAGAAATGAGATGCAAACTTAAAAGAGACTATGGGCTTTGAATTTCCCTGCTGCAGGTCAGTGTGGTTAGAGAGGAAGTGGTGGGTGTGAATTCACACAGCATGCTGGGTAGATGAAGGATAATCAGCCACTCTTCTTCTTTCTGTTTAGGTGTGTGCATTTCTTTGATTCATTTATCCAGTTCAATGTATGTATTTTAGAGATTTGTTAGTAGCCATTAGGTTCCAGAGTTTGAAATTTGTTTTTAATCTCAGGTCTCCCTGGACAGTATCATTGAGGAATTAGAGAACGCAGCAGTTCCTGGGAGAAGTGTTACATCAGCAACCAGGGGGCTTTGTAGCAGCTAACAGTTTACAGAAGGAAAAGATGAAAAATCCTTTCCTAGCCCAAGAGTCCAGGCTTCTCACAACTGCTTTGGTATTGGGGAAACAGTTGTGTATGGGTATCCTGTCTGTTAAAGTTTAAGAAAAGTATTGGCCACCCCTGGGATCTATAAATTGGCCTGGACTCTGTCTGGCCTATTGAATTGAAAACATTGCTTTTTTTGCCAACAAGAAGATTGTTGGATGGAATTTTCATAGACCTGATTTTCTCTCTTCCTAAAAGTTTTGTTGTTTGTTGTTTTTATCAGGTATAGACTCCAAACCCATATAATTGGTATGTAAGCACAAACCATAATTCTGTATTTGAATTCTATTTTGCTCTTTGAAGAAGTGTCCATAACAGTAATAAAAATTTTTAATGTCCAGCATGTCAGATTGGCAAGTTGGCTCAGCAGGTAAAGGTGCTTTCTACCAAGCCTGACACCCTAAGTTTGGTGTTTGGAACCCATGTCATAGAAGGAGAGCGCAGACTCCTGCAGGTTGTCCTCTGACCTCCCTACACATTCATTGTGTTCTAGTTTCGTCTTGTTTCTCTGATAAAGCACTCTGACTTAAAGCAGTTTAGGGGAGGAAAGGATTTGGCTTACACTCCTAGGACACACTCCATCAACCAGGGAAGTCGGCAGGGACTCAAGCTAGTAACGTGAAGTAGAAACCATGGAGGAGTGCTGCTTGCTGCCTGGCTCTTTGGCTCTCTGGCTCATGTTTAGCTATCTAGCTTACACTGTTCAGGACCACCTGTCTGGGGATGGTACCACCCACAGTGGGCTGGGCTTCCTGTATCAGTTAAAATTTAGTTCACTGGAGACATGCCTAAGGCCAGTCTGACTGAGTCAATTCCTCAATCAAGGCTTTCTTAGATGACTCGGGTGTGTCAGATTGACAATACAAAATAACAAGGACATGGACATACACACATACATGCACAATAAGTAGACAAATGTAAACATTTAATGGCATACAAAACTAAGGAAAATTATAATGGAATTATATTGAAATTTATAATTATATTTTAAATGGTAACAATGAGGTAATTACATACATGTATCTATATGCTCTGTGTGTCTGTGTGTGTCTGTACCTGTCCATCAGGGTACTGTTATTTAAATTTTATAGATGGGAACATTGAATTAAGAAATCTGATGACATGCCTCAGGTCATTTAAAGATGGTGAAGCTTGGATTTGAACTGTGGTCTGTTTATCACTGAAGACCAACCTTTTAAATACTATTTTACAATTTTACACATTAATATCCGGTGCTTTAGTGTTCCTGGCTTGCTTTCAAAACCTTCCCTCTTCCTGTCAATTCCAGAGATAACATTCAATAACTTGACAACAGTGACCTTTCTAAACAAATATAGTGTGTTACAGAACCAGATGGCCCAAGATTATATTTTATTTTTCTGGCTCAAAATAAATTGCCTGTTCTCTGCTTGATAAAGTCCAAAGGAAAAAAAAGATGCTTCTGTGTCCCAGGACCTCATCAGGCCTCATGGCCAGCCAGTGCCCTTTATCATGAGCCAGTCAGAACCGCAGAGCCCATGGCCTTATACCACAGTTTAGAGTCTAATGAAAGGACAAGAAGCAGGGTTTACTACATTTATTCTGGCCTTTAGTAATCATTATGGATTTGGTAGGAAGGTTTGAGGAATTGACAGATAATCCTGTGGTTTTGTTAAGTTGATGTGAGCAAGGGGATGGCAGATTTATAATTTAATAAACCTGTGTGTTATACATCTATTTGGTGTCTTTCTTTTGGGATCTTGGGAGGATTTTTCTAATGATCACCAATTTCATTCTTATTTTAAAAATTATTTTTTATTGTGTGTGCACAGAATGTTTATTTGCATGCATAAGAGAGTATGTGTATAGAGGTCAGAGGATAACTTCATGGGCTCTGTTCTTTCCTTTTACCTTTACATGGGTTCAGGGGCTTGAACTTAGGTCAGTAGGCTTGCATGAGAAGGGCCTTTACCAGCTCGACCATTTTACCATCACAGAAACTTCATTCTTTACCATTTAAAATGTAAATGGGAATTTTCTTAGCAATGTTACACAAACATACTTAGACCACCTTATGTGTCCACTGTAAAAATTATTTTCTATCATACATAATCATAAACACAGCATCTCTCCAAGCTCAGTTGCTCTTAGAGAATTTCTGACTGAGAGAGATCAGGTTATGTAGGGTAAGTGTAGAAATGATGAAAAGAGTTGAAGAAGCCACACTTACCATCACCCAGAATGCATGATGAAAAAACATGCTGGCCTTGGAATTAGGAGACCTGTGTTTAAGACTTGGCCTTGCCATCTGTAAGGACCATTGAACATGTAATGCGACTGTTCAAGATCTTAGTTTTGTCATTTGAAAATAAGACTTGAATAATAATTACCTTGTTACATTGCCAGGTTATTCCGAGGCAAAGTTAAGGACGTGATAAATTTAGCATGATATTACTGTTGTGTGCTGTTTATATAGTAGTGTTTAATGTATGATAAGTGTCCCAAATGTCTGTTGTACTAATGGTCAATGAAACTAAATAGTATGCCCAACTTTCATAACTGCTGCCTCAAAGGACTATCACATCTGTTCTTTTGGAATGCAAACATAGTTGTTGCTACTTCAGTACACAGAAAGTTGAATACACATATCCACAAAAAAATTTGATGAATTGAAACTAGAAATTAGCTTTATATCCTCTTTTGAGACTCATTCTTTTGCCTGCATTATTCTTCCTCAGCACCCTACCTTCCCCTCGCTTGGTCTCCTTTCTAAATGTTATGCTGTGTCCTCACATCTGTTACACGTACATGTTATAGACTAATTCCGCAAATGAGGGAGAGCATGTGGTTTTCTTCTTTCTGAGTTTGGATCACTTATAAGTTCCAGGTCCATCTATTTTTCTGAAAATTTCTTTCTTTTTTTTTTTTTTTTTTGGTTTTTGTTTTTTTTTTGGTTTTTCGAGACAGGGTTTCTCTGTGTAGCTTTGTGCCTTTCCTGGAACTCACTTGGTAGTCCAGGCTGGCCTTGAACTCACAGAGATCCGCCTGGCTCTGCCTCCCGAGTGCTGGGATTAAAGGCGTGCGCCACCACCGCCCGGCTGAAAATTTCTTTTTTATAGCTGAACAATATTCTATAGTATATATGTATAATTTCATTATGTGTCTTTTGGTGGATGTCTAGGCTGTTACAATTTCATTGCTATTGTGCATAGAGCAGCAATTCATAAATCTCTATGGTAGGATATGGAGTTATTTGGGTATATGTTTTCTGTTTTTTAAAGATTCGTTTATTTTTATTTATATATATGTGCTTTGCCTGAATGTATGTAAGTGTCCTACATGTATGCCTGGTGCTTGTTGAGGCCAGAAGAGGGTGTTGGACCCCCAAGACCTGGACTTACATGCAGTTGTAAGCACCAATGTTTGCACTGGGAACCAAATCTGAGTGACCTCTCCAAGAGCAGAAAGTGCTCTTATCTCCAGGTGATGCTTTTTAAAGTAAGCTACTTTTTTTGTTTGTGCACACCCATGTGCATGTGTGTGCATGCTTATGCATATCCACAGAGTGTGAGCTTGCTTGCACTAGATACTTTTAGAGCCCAGGAATTGTTTT